GTGTGTGTGTCTGTGTATTTTTGTGTGTCAATATCCATGTGTGTGTCTGAATCTGTGTGTGCCTATATTTCCTGTTTGTCAGTGTCTGTGTGTGTGATTGTATATTTATGCATGCCAGTGTCTTTGTGTGTGACTGTATATTCCTGTGTGTCAGTGTCTTTGTGTGTGTGACTGTATATTCCTGTGTGTCAGTTCCTGTGTGTGCCTGTATATTCCTGTGTGTCAGTGTTTTTGTGTGTGACTGTGCACTCCTGTGTGTTCATGGCTGTGTGTATCTGTATATTCATGTGCATCAGTGCCACTGTTTGCGTGTCTATATTCCTGTGTGTCAGTTTCTCTATGTGTCTGTATATTCCTGTGTGTCAGTGTCTGACTGTGTATTCCTATGTATCCATGTCTGGGTGTATCTGTATACTCCTTTGTGTCAGTGCCAAGGTGTGTGTGTCTGTATATTCCTGTGTGTCAGTGTCTCTGTGTGTATCTCTAAATTCCTGTGTGTCAGTGACTCTGTGTGTGTGTGTCTGTATATTCCAGTTTGTCACTCGCTCTGTGTATGTCTATATGATCCTGTGTGTCAGTGTCTGTGTGTTTGCCTGTACATTCCTCTGTTACGGTCTCTCTGTGTGTGACTGTATATTCCTGTGTGCCTTTTTCTGTGTGTGTCTGTACTTTCCTGTGTGTCATTGTCCCTTGTGTGTGTGTCTATATATTCCTGTGTGTCAGTGCCTGTCTGTGTCTGTCAATTCTTGGATGTCAATGTCTGTGTGCACAACTGTATATTTCTGTGTCTGTGCTTTTCTGTATATTCCTCTGTGTCACCCGCTCTGTGTGTGTCTGTACGATCCTGCATGTCAGTGTCTGGGTTTCCTGCATGTCAGTATCTGTGTTTCCTGTGTGCCTTTTTCTGTGTGTGTCTTATTTTCCTGTGTGTCAGTGTCTCTTGTCTGTGTGTCTGTATATTCCTGTGTGTCAGTGTCTCTGTGTGCACAACTATATATTCCTGTGTGTCTGTGTCTGTGTTTTTCTCCATATTCCTGTGTTGCTGTGTATTCTTGTGTGTCAGTTTCTGTATGTTTCTGCATATTCCTGTGTATCAGTGTCTGTGTTTTTCTGTATGTTCCAGTGTGTCACTGTCTGCATCTGTTAATGTTTGTATATTCCTGTGTATCTGTGACTCTGTGTGTCTGCATATTCCTGTATGTCAGTGCCTGTATGTGACTGTATATGCCTGTTTGTCAGTGTCCGTGTGTGTGTCTGTATCTGTGTGTGTCTGTATGTTCCTGTGTGTCAGTGTCTCTTCATGTGTGACTGTATATTACTGTGTGTCAGTGTCTGTGTGTGTGACTGTATATTCCTGTATGTCAGTATCTCTCTGTGTGTCTCTAAATTCCCTCATGTCAGTGTCTCTGTGACTTTATATTCCTGTCTGTTTAATCTCTGTGTGTATCTGTATATTTCTGTCTGTCAGTGTCTCTCTGTGTGTCTGTTTATTCCTGTATATCAGTGCCTCTCTGTGTGTCTGTAAATTCCGTCATGTCAGTGTCTCTGTGAGTTTATATTCCTGTCTGTTCATTCTCTGTGTGTCTGTGTTTTTCTTTATATTCCTGCATTACTGTGTTTTTCTGTGTGTCAGGATCTGTGTGTGACTGTATTTCCTGTTTGTCAGTGTCTCTGTGTATGTGATTGTATATTCCTGCATGTCAGTGTCTCTCTGTGTGTGATTGTATATTCCTGTCTGTCATTGACTGTGTATGTATGTTCCTGCATGTCAGTGTTTAGATGTGTGTCTGCATGTTCCTGTTTGACAGTGTCTCTGTGTGTCTGTATGTTCTTGTGTGTCAGCGTCTCAGTGTCTGTGTCTGTATATTCCTGTGTGTTGGTGTTTCTGTGTGTGCAACTGTATATTCCTATGTGCCATTGACTGTGTATCTATGTTTCCTGTGTGTCAGTGACTGTGTGTGTATGTATATTCCTGTGTGTTATTGTCTCTGCGTGTGTGACTGTATATTCTTGTGTGTTTGTGTCTCTGTGTGACAGTTTATTCCTGTTTGCCTGTGTCTGTGTGTGTCTGTGTATTCCTGTGTGTCAGTGTATTCCTGTGTGTCAGTGTATCTATGTCTGTATATACCTGTGTGTTAGCATCTGTGTGTCTGTCTGTATATTCCTGCGTATCAGTGTCTCTGTGTGCCTGTATATTCCTGAGTCTGTGTTTGTGTTTTTCTATATATTCCAGTGTTACTGTGTAATCCTGTTTGTCAGTTTCTGCATGTGTCACTGTATATTCCTGTGTGTCGGTGTCTGTGTGTGTGTCTGTATATTCCTGTGTGTCTGTGTCTTTATATTTGTGTGTTTCTGTGTGTGTATCTGTATATTTGTGTGTCAGTGCCTACATGTGACTGTATATTCCTACTTGTCAGTGTGTTTGACAGTATATTCCTGTGATACAGTGTGTGTGTGACTGTGTATTCCTGTGTGTCTGTGTCTGTGTGTGTCTGTATATTCCCATGTGTCAGTGCCTCTGTGTGTCTGCATATTTCTGTATGTCACTGTCTCTCTGGGTGTCTATAAATACTCTTATGTCAGTGTCTCTGTGACTTTATATTCCTGTCTGTTCATTATCCATGTGTGTATATATATTCCTGTGTGTCGGTGTCTCTGTGTGTGTATCTGTATATTCCTGTGTGTCGGTGCCTCTGTGTGTGTCTCTGTACATTCCTGTCTGTCACTGTGTGTGTGTATTCCTGTGCGTTAGTATCTGTCTATATACACAGGAATACACAGTCACACACAGAGACACTGACACAGGAATGTACAGTCACACAGACACTTACACACAGGAACATACGATCACACACACACAGACACTGACAAACAGGAAATACAGACACACACAGATTCAGACGTAACATGGACATGCACGTACAAAAGTGTACAGACATGCACACAGATGCTGACACATAGGAATATACAGTAACACACACAGAGACATTGGTACACATGAATATACAGACACATATACACACTGTGTCAGTGTCTCTCTCTATTTCTGTATATTCCTGTCTGTCATTATCTGTGTGTGTATGTATATTCCTGTGTGTCAGTGCCTCTGTGTATGTCTGAATATTGCTGTTTGCCAGTGTCTCTGTGTGACTGTATATTCCTGTGTGTCAGTGTTGCTGTGTGTGCAACAGTATATTCCTGTGTGTCACTCTCTCAGTGTGTTTATGTTCCCGTGTGTGTCTGTATATTCCTGTTGGTCAGTGTCTTTATGTGTGTCTGTATATCCACAGTGTCTCTGTGTGTGAATGTATATTCTTATGTGTCAAATATTCTGTGTGTGCAACTGTATATTCCTGTGTCAGTGTCTCTGTGTGTGCCTGTGTATTCCTGTGAGTCAGTGTCTGTGTTTATACATTCCTGTGTGTCTGTCTGTGTGTTTGTGTTACCTGTGTGTCAGTGTCTGTGTGTGCTTGTATATTGCTGTGTGTCACTCTCTCTGTGTGTTTATGTTCCCGTGTGTCAGTGTCTGTGTGTGTCTACATATTCCTGTATGTCAGTGTCTCTCTGTGTGTCTCTAAATTCCCTCGTGTCAGTATCTCTGTGACTTTATATACCTATCTGTTCAAACTGTGTGTGTCTGTAAATTCCGTCATGTCAGTGTCTCTGTGACTTTATATTCCTGTCTGTTCATTCTTTGTGTGTCTGTGTTTTTCTGTATATTCCTGTGTTTTCCTGTGTGTCAGGGTCCGTGTGTGACTGTATTTCCTGTTTGTCAGTGTCTCTGTGTATGTGATTGTATATACCTGCATGTCAGTGTCTCTCTGTGTGTGACTGTATATTCCTGTTTGTCATTGACTGTATACGTATGTTCCTGCATGTCAGCGTCTGTGTGTGTCTGCATATTCCTGTTTGACAGTGTCTCTGTGTGACTGTATTTTCTTATGTGTCACTCGCTCTGTCTATGTCTGTTTGTTCTTGTGTGTCAGTGCCTGTATCTGTATATTGTGTATCAGTATCTGTGTTTGTGTCTGTATATTCCTGTGTGTCAGTTTCTCTGTGTGTGTAACTGTATGTGCCGTTGTCTGTGTATCTGTGTTTCCTGTGTGCCAATGATTGTGTGTGTGTCTGTATATTCCTGTGTGTTACTGTCTCTGTGTGTGTGACTGTATATTCCTGTGTGTTTGTGTCTCTGTGTGACTGTATATTCCTGTGTGTTTGTGTCTCTATGTGACGATATATTCCTGTTTGCCTGTGTCTGTGTGTATCTGTATATTCCTGTGTGTCAGTATTCATGTGTGTCTGTGTATTCCTGTGTGTCAGTATTCATGTGTGTCTGTGTATTCTTGTGTGTTAGTGTCTGTGTTTATCTGTATATTCCTGTGTGTCAGTATCTGTGTATGTCTGTGTATTCCTTGGTGTCAGTGTCTGTGTGTGTCTGTATATTCCTGTGTGTATGTGTCTGTGGGTGACTGTATATTCCTG